TAATTTAAAAAATGCAGTGTCAAAACTAAATAATTAAAGTGATACATGCCTAAGGCCTCGTGGCTGAAACTTTGTATTTTGTCCTTTTGATCCAAAATAAACCATTTTTAATTTCAGCCTACACTGTGACACGTGTGGACTTCCATGTCTAAAATAATTTATATTAATAGATAATCAAAACATGCATACCATGACAGATACTATGTAAAATGTATTATTTCTGACTGCACAGTATTAAAGTGAGTTCTCAGACATATAACCCATGCTCACACAAATTAGGTCCCCGCTTTCTAATACAGGGATTCTGATATCCTCATCAGTAAGCTAGAAATTCAATATTTTGATATTTCTGAAAACAATGTCCATGTGATGAGTGATGCTAATTATGCTCTTGAGTGTTGGGTTTATTGATTTTCCAATTTACAAAGAGGCATCTCAGTTTGGGATTTTTATTACACAGCTCTGTGTTTGAGTGTGTTGCCATGACAACGTCCATATAGGCCATTGGCTCATTCTAGAAATAGCAACGTATCATAAGATGCCTAATATCAGTTGAGAATCTCCTGGAATCGTCTCACATGTTAGAACTCAACAGAATTATTTCACAAATGTTGTTTTATATATATCTATAAAAACATGTGTGCAGGTAGTGGTTACCATGTAGTGTGACCAACCTTCTTTACCATCCATTCTCCCCCAAAAACCTGAGACATATTCATGGTATAAAACAGGCCACAGCTTTATTTATAATTTAACAAATATATTTAACCAATAAATGACCACTTACTAACTATATCAACATGATATACAATTTAACTGCAGACTTGTCCTTGACAACCCATTTCAGCACCAAACATGAGTACTCCTGGGTGCCTGCCCTCCCCCTTGTCCTAACCACCACTTGGCCATACCTTACCACCATGCCAACCACTAGCCGGCCTTTGGGTCAGTGGGCACAGCCGTTTGTCCAACCATTTACCAGAGGTTAGGGGAGAGATCAGCCCTAACCTTCCTTTTTTCCCCCTGTACTCTTGCTCCAACCCGGACCGACAAAGACCTTATCCGCCACTGGCCCCACTGCTTTGCCCCTAAATCAGCGGGCGCGACCCACATTATAGCCTGCTCTAAAATGTCCTGTAAAGCTAAATTAAATAAATTGAGACCCACATCGGTAAGGTGGACACTGTCAGAGTGAAAATAGACCACCGCATTCCGTTCATAAATGCGGTGCCTAACCGTATCCCAGTACAAATTTGGAATCCCTTTTGTTTAACTTGATCCTACAGCGCTTCATCACCTTCTGATCTTGAGCGCACCTCTAATAGTTACGGGCCACCATCTCAGACCACACTAAACAAACCATGGAAAAAGCACTAGTAAGCGCGCCAGGTCTTGCTTAATCATGTCCCCCAGGCCCCACACAGGCATTGCTCTCAAATTGTTACCACCAAGGTGTATGATCAACACGTCTAGGGCCCCCAGTAGAAGAGAAAGCTGCATTACTTCCGGAAGCAGCTGTACCCATCGCATGCCCCGAGTCCCAAACCATCTGACATCTGCCGACTCTGTCAAAAGGCCGAGACGAGTCCCACCAGGTTTAACCAAAGCACGGATATGGGCCCAATAGACATAGAAATGTTCGGCTAACCAGACCCATCGGCTGGACCCTGCGGAGTAAACAGAGGGGAAAACGCAATCAGCCCGGTTGGGTGCACATAGGACCAAAACCTCCTAGACTTCCATTTACCAATCCTCTGGATAGCCTGCTTGAAGAAGCCTGAACGTGATGACCCCCAAATTACTTCCCCAAAATGCGAAAGCCACTCCAGCGCCATGCGAAAGACCCTAATAAATGCGTCCGAGTAATAGTGTGTGTCTATCAGTGTGTCAAATCAGTGAGTGTGTGTGTGTGTGTGTATGTCATTGTTTGTCAGTGTATATGAGTCTGTGTGTCTCTCAATGAGTGTATGCATCTATCAGTGAGTGAGCGTCTGTCAGTGAAAGTGCGGCCTTGACAGGAAGGTGGGGAAAATTTAAATTAGGGGGTGTGTCCGAGCACAGTCCTGCCTAGGGCAGCACAAATCCTATATACACCACTGCATCCACACATGAGACGTCCGTAAAGAGAATCCCACCCGGCACCCGTTTATTGGGACTCACTAGCTCTCCGACCTGTAGTGCCCCAAAGGAGGCAAACATGAATTCTAACTGGAACAACCGCACCTCGAAGTCTGAAAAGCAAACCTGAGGGAGTAATGCCCCCGAGGCCATGAATCATGAACCCTAGGCCCCCACCGCCAACCCCTCATCGCCAAGGCGACCATATAGTCCTTGGTGACGTCGTGCACCATGGGTAACTTAAACCAAAAACTGAGACCCAATAATTTCACGGTGACCACCGCGGGCGAACACCCAACAGCTTCCCAAAACCACAGAAGGCACAAGAGACCCCGGACTCGGTCTTCAACCGAGCCAAAACCCCCAATTTCTCATTGAAAGGCCAACTATTCCCCCATGCCTTACCATATTGAGTCCACATGGCATCCAACTCCGAAGACCGGATCCACGCCCCCACTCGTTCAGGCCAAGGTACCACAGTTCCACCGGGCAGGGGGAACCCTCTGCGCCCACTCCTGGCGTGGCTGCCCGAAACGCTTGCCACAAGAATGAGCATCCGCTTTTATATTCTTAACGCCCGGAATGTGAACAGCTCGACAAGTAACATTTAAGTACAAGCAGCGCAACGCCAGACGCCACAAAAGCCATACCACCGGGGGAGAGAAGACGTCAAGATGTTAATAGCAAAGACCACCCCCAGGTTTTCGCAGTGGAAGACAACCCACCGATCCCGAAGGAAGGACCCCCACAGATTAACCACCACTACAATTGGGAACAGCTCCAGGAATGCTAGGTTCCTAGTCAGACCTGCCGAATGCCAGGACTCCGCACACCAGTGTGTACCTAGGATGACACCAAACCCCACTGACCCCGCTGCATCAGTAAACAGATAGAGGTCGGAATTTAGAACCTCTGGCTGCTGCCAGTAGGACCTGCCATCATACTCATTGAGAAAAGCGCTCCACACCACCAGATCCCCCCTAAGCGCCTCTGTAAGGTGCACAAAGTGGTGTGGCTTCTCAGCCCTAGACGTAGCCGCCACCAAATGCGGATTGAATACCCTGCCCATGGGCATGATCCCCCACGCAAAATTCAATTTTCCTAGGAGCGACTTTAGCCGCAGCAAAGTAATTTTCTGAAGGCCTGGCACCGCCTTGACTGCCTCCCGCATATCCCGCATCTTGTCCACGGGTAAGCGGCATTAAATTACTTTAATTGTATCGTGTTGAAATAATTCAACATAATTATTTACTGTAACCCAATTACTGAAATTTACAAAGAGAAATTTATTAAAATGAGTACCAAACATTTTCTTCATAAGAAACGATAGAACAACTTAAATTGCAAAGAGCTGAAGGACGGAATTCTGGTTGGAAACAGACCGTAAATGTTCACCTAACTGTGGATAGAAGATTTAAGGCATTTTACAGCAGAAACAACCCAGTGGGTGTTGTGATAATTGGATGCATGTAGAGTATAACCCATGAAGCACAGAGCTTTCAATCTAATAGATGGTTTACTTTTCCTGTACAGGAACCTAAAAGGCTGTTTATTCATTGTTCGTTTACAAAAGGCAAATGTGACATCACCCATTACCACCAAGTGTGTGTTTGCAAATTATAATACATTTTAAAATGGTTTAATAATAGGAAAGATGTTCTAATTTTGTAATATTTGGATGTTGTGTTTACATATATTTTATATTTGATACAATTTTTGACATGTTAATATGTTGGAAAAAAAATTTAAAAAATGTATCCAAAAATATTTAATCGTTTGGAAAGCTTATGCAACAATATGAAATCGAGACTTTTATTTGGTAAAAATTGTAGTTTAGTGAATAACTCTAGTCAGTACTTGTAGATACCAGGTAAAAGCAGGGAGGAGTGCAACTAGTTAATCTTAAACTTTCTACATCAAGTTAATCTTGATGCTTGAATTCATGCCAAACAGGCACTTAATCATGAACGATCAGTACCTATAACAGAAAATTCAATTCACAAATTATTAATGTACTGCTACGAGTCTGTTGGGCATAAAATTAGTACTTTTTACTTATAAAGTAACATGTAATTGAAAAAGGAATCTATTGCCATTTTGATGTCTCTTTTTGAATTGTTGTGCCCAAATATATGCTGTCAGTATTTACAGCTAATTACCCAATACCAGCACTTTATCTCTGCTACACATCATTTTCAGATATTTTGTTTTTTCTTGTTTTGTTTTTTCCAAATACAGATAACTTAGCGTTAACTACATATATCAGAGACAAGGTCAGCATTAGGTAAAATGAGGCAGCAATTTAGCCAGCAAATGCTTAATCTACCCAAAATGCAAACAGCACTTTGCACTAAAATGAGAATTTTCAGTAATTGCCAAAATTATCCATTTCTGTTCGAATACATCTGTTTCACAATAAAATGTGCAGTTATCTGGTCATATCTAGACATTTGCCAGATTGATGTATGACCCTGTTACACGCTAGGCATTGTGGGTCAGTGCACTGCGCATATATTGTGTACATACACAACAGTACAGCAGCCATGTAATATAAATTCATTTTTATATGCCAACAGTATAAAGGAATAAGTTTTTTTTTTTTTTTTTTTTAAAGGAATATAGTTATTACATGACATGGACACATTCGCTAATACTTTTTTTGACATATGTACTGATAAAATATCATAACCAACATGGTGCCACAACGCAATTTTTGGCAGACAGACACAATTTGGTAAATAAAAAATGGGTAGTTTGAAATCAGAAGTGGTGGCTATAGGGCAAGGTCGAGCGGTGTCAGCCTTCACAACTCATAAAACAACTGTCTGGACTAGTGATGTCCCGAACGGTTGAGTAAACTTTGACCCTGTACCTCACAGTCAGCAGACACATTCCAGCCAATCAGCAGCAGACCCTCACTCCCAGCCCCTCCCACCTCCTGGACAGCATCCATTTTACATTCATTGTGAAGCTGCATTCTTAGTGAGCTGTCCAGGAGGTGGGAGGGTCTGGGAGGGAGGGTCTGCTGCTGATTGGCTGGAATGTGTCTGCTGACTGTGAGGTACAGGGTCAAAGTTTACTCAATGATGAGTCCGTGGCGAACCATTCGGGACATCACTAGTCTGGACAAGACTGTTCCACTAGATCCAAGACTGTTGGGACATTTGAGACAGTTAAAAGGCAAAGCAAGCACAGGCAATTTAGGTGTAATCAATTTAATATCTCAGTATTAACTCTCAATACATATCCATTGATCATAATTGATAGATGAATGAAAATTAATAGATACATGCAAATAAAAAAAATGGTTCTGGAAACTAACACAGATCTTTGGAATAACTTGATACCTTTTCATCTGGTGTAATACACAGCCAAACACAGCTGCTCAGAAACTTAAATAGCCTCCGCTTAATAGGAGGAAAAATAAAATTGCATTAAAAGATAACTGCAATCAAAACATTTCAAGACAACATAAAAAAGGGAAATAGCAACAAAGCAATCCACTTCTCCACAAATGGGATTTTTGTAATCTAAAAAGATTAAAGGAAGAAGTAAAGAAAGTGGAAAAGAGTCTCATACAATCCTACAAAAACAGTGTACAAAGGAGACGGGCGACAGAGGGGGATACAAAGTCAATTTTAACAGCCCTTCAAAATTCAATTTCATGAAGTATTCTTTCTGCATTTATCAGAAAATGTATTTATGTAACATAAGGAATAGCCCAAAGGTTTTTGGATTTATGTCCCACATCCAAATATACAGCGCGTTTAATATCAGCACCAGACGCCATGTTTATACAGCCTCCCACAGTCACTGTATCAGTATATAGTATATAGATAGTATTACACAGCCTGCCACAGTCACTGTATCAGTATATAGTATATAGATACTATTATACAGCCTCCCACAGTCACTGTATCAGTATATAGTATATAGATAGTATTACACAGCCTGCCACAGTCACTGTATCAGTATATAGTATATAGATACTATTACACAGCCTGCCACAGTCACTGTATCAGTATATAGTATATAGATACTATTACACAGCCTGCCACAGTCACTGTATCAGTATATAGTATATAGATACTATTACACAGCCTGCCACGGTCACTGTATCAGTATATAGTATATAGATAGTATTACACAGCCTGCCACGGTCACTGTATCAGTATATAGTATATAGATACTATTACACAGCCTGCCACGGTCACTGTATCAGTATATAGTATATAGATACTATTACACAGCCTGCCACGGTCACTGTATCAGTATATAGTATATAGATATTATTACACAGCCTGCCACGGTCACTGTATCAGTATATAGTATATAGATAGTATTACACAGCCTGCCACGGTCACTGTATCAGTATATAGTATATAGATATTATTACACAGCCTGCCACGGTCACTGTATCAGTATATAGTATATAGATACTATTACACAGCCTGCCACGGTCACTGTATCACTATATAGTATATAGATAGTATTACACAGCCTGCCACGGTCACTGTATCACTATATAGTATATAGATAGTATTACACAGCCTGCCACGGTCACTGTATCAGTATATAGTATATAGATACTATTACACAGCCTGCCACGGTCACTGTATCAGTATATAGTATATAGATACTATTACACAGCCTGCCACGGTCACTGTATCAGTATATAGTATATAGATACTATTACACAGCCTGCCACGGTCACTGTATCAGTATATAGTATATAGATACTATTACACAGCCTGCCACGGTCACTGTATCACTATATAGTATATAGATAGTATTACACAGCCTGCCACGGTCACTGTATCACTATATAGTATATAGATACTATTACACAGCCTGCCACGGTCACTGTATCAGTATATAGTATATAGATACTATTACACAGCCTGCCACGGTCACTGTATCAGTATATAGTATATAGATACTATTACACAGCCTGCCACAGTCACTGTATCAGTATATAGTATATAGATACTATTATACAGCCTGCCACAGTCACTGTATCAGTATTGAGGGACTGAAGTGATGAGAAGAAATTGGGGAATAGGGCTAGAGACAAGGGGTTAAGGGAAATATGGTGATAAAGAGAGAAGCACAAGAGGTTTAGGGGAGATTACAGGTAGTGAGAGGTCCCAGGATGTGATGGGAGTTAAGGAGTTGGAGAGAGAGGATTGAAGGGTGAATGATTCATGGAAAGGGTGATAACCCAACACACAAAGATTGCACCAACCTAACGGGATACGGATAAGATAGGATGAATATTACAAATTCTTAGAGATGGCCAGATTTAATGCACGAAAGACAAGAGAATGGTCAGAGTAAGCCATAGACAAGGACATGAGAGGTACACAATAACGATAAACTAAACTGCATCATAAAATATCAGAACAGACTAGTCAGGACAATCCAAGTCCAAAAAGACAAGAAACAATAAAATACCTGTTGTCCTTAGTGTACCTAACGGGACAATAAGGACGACAACAGGTCACAGATCACTGGTCAGAGTGAAATTTATACATGATTAGGGTATGTGACTTAGCACTGGGCTGAGAACCCACGTGAAGGTACTACTTATCAATCACATGATCACACAACGGGTTTTCCACACCCGGAACTCTCACTGGCCCGCAAATCTGCTGCACGCGGCAGGCAGACCCCTGGGGAAATAGATAAGGCTCCTCTTAAAGCATGGGCTTTCAGATAGGCAGAACTTGGGTGCAACACAGTATGATTTCATGCTATGTGATATTCTAATGCTCTGTATTTTTGTTATACAACTTTTTTTTAACTTCTGTACTGTATTATTCACTTATCTCAATAAAAGTAACTATTAAAAAAAATGGAAAAAAACAGACGAATAACAGTAGACTAAGTGAATTTGGAATATGGCTTGCAGCCTGAGAAATAGGTGATTGTGTGAAGAGTTTTTGTTAAGTGTGATTTTTAATGATTTTGGATAAAATTCAGCATTCTTAATAACCACATTCACCTAGTTCAATATTAGGGCTAAAACCTCTAAGTCTCAGTGGTGGACTGCCATGCTAGTTTTTTTCCTCTATTGTGGAAAATCTAATTCACAAACATAAGGAAGATTAGCCATCACTCACACAGGTAATATTCTATAGTCACGGCATGGAATGGGGGGTCAGAACATTGATTTTTACTAAAACTTAATAAATAAAAAGCAATGCTTTATCTGTCAACCGAAATTGATTTAATACACTACATGATAACAGGATGTAAAATGTAAGGTAATTTTGGTCTGGGACGCAAAGCTTAAAAACATCTGAAAACAGAAATAATAGAAGAATCCGTTGGACACAAAAAAAAAAAAAGAAGAAATTTCAGGCTGTTTTCAGTCACAACTACAGAGAAAGCAGATGGCTCATATAATTGAATTGGCTACTTTGAAGAGAAAAATTGCACAGTTTAAATTTTTTTTATATATTTTGTAGCCAAATGAAATAAATTGCAATACAAAGATTAAATAAAAAAAACTAATCAACAAACCTTCGACTTAAAAAGTAAAATTGGTCTAAAAAACTAATTGAATTAACATTTTACAAAAATGCTGTTTATTGATGACAGATAAGACCCTGAGGAGGCAGGCAAAGCTAGCCGGATCAAGGAGCATGTGTGAGGGTGGGGTTTGTATAAGAAAAAGGTGATCTGGTGGGTCTGGGTTTGGTCAGCAGTAATTGATTGGGGGCTAGGGGGTATAAATAGGAGGTATGTTATGTAATTCCCCCTGCCATTTTATAAACGGCTAGGATTTGTTCCCCTCCCTACCTCACTTTAGTAAGGTTGTCTAAATATTTATTTGTTTATGATTCACTGTTTTCTCACTTGCCTTTCATCACAGCAGGCGGGTGGTTGTCGTTGCCAATCGTGGGTTGGACTTGGGGAGTCCAACGGGTGTGAAGGAAAGTGGGGCCTTCCCCACCGCCTAGTCTTGGTGAAGTTAAAGTATGGTTTATTCAGGACATGCCCACTGAGCCAAAGGTCAGCTAGTGGTTAGCATGGTGTTGGTGGAGTTCTGAGGTTACGGATAATTGATTGGCAAGGACGGGTATGTTTATGGAATTTTGTTAAGTTATATTGTTGTTATGTTCTTTGATGTTTAAAATATTAAAGTATATATTTATGATACAAAGTATTGGTAATATCGTTTGGTGAAATATTTAATAAAAAGCTGTGGCATATTTTTACCAATTATGTCTCATGTTGAATTATTGGGATGTAAAAGGGGTATAGTAAAAGGGGCACTACACACAACTCCACACTACGCCCACACATGAAAGCAGTGATAGGGATATGCATAATTTGACAATGACTTTTACAAATGTACACACTAAGTTAAAGTAAAGTTTCAAAATGTATAAACTTAGTCAGTTTATTCTCTCTGACACGCCTCTTAGCTAGGAGAGTTTGTTCAGCTCTGTCTCGCCTTTCACCCACTCACTAATCCAGCAACCTACTGTCTGCTCTTAGATTAGGACCTGCCAAGTGTTTAGTGAATGAGTGAATGAGCTTGATCATGTATGTTGTATGAATTGGCCCTAGCACACTGGCAAATTGTCCCCCCCCACCACCCCACCAAAGAAAATAATGCATCACTGAGTCGGAACTGAGCCCTTACCACAGGTCATTGTGGAACCCATCGGGAAGCCCATACACAGGGCAAACCCAACAGACCGGCAGGTCTCATGAGGGGCTTAATCAGGCCCCTTTAATGTCAGTAAGAGTGCTGGGAGGAAATTACTTCCATTCGCTTCCTCCCAGCTTACAAACCACGCGGAGGCTGAGTGAACACAGTGGCGGCACAGAGAGGGAGGAGGGAGCACTAGAGACAAAGAACCTCAGACTCAAATCAGCGGCAGCTCAGACTCAAATCAGCGGCAGCCAAACCCAGAAAGTCACCTCCCTGCAACCAAAAGGAATGGAAGTAGGGGGGTGATTAACAATATGTAAATTGCATTTGGTGTATGCATAGGTATATGTGTGCATCTGTGTGTGTGCTAGTATGTGTAGGTATGTGTGTGTATCTGAGTGTGTATGTATAGGTATATGTGTGTATCTGTGTGTATGAGTAGGTATGTATGTGTGTGTGTGTGTGTTAGTATGTGTAGGTATATGTGTGTATCAGTCTGTATGAGTAGGTATGTATGTATGTGTGTGTGTGCCAGTGTTCTGAAAACTGTGAGTGTTCCATTTTACTCTATTATATTTTTTCCGTTTACAAATTACACTATGGTATTTCTTGTATCTATATCACACAGGGTTCTTTCATGACCATTAAAACAAACTGTTCTGTATATACTGGTAAATTTTAATCATTGTGTGCGCTATCACACTTTTCTCTGCATTGTAGGTATACAGTCAGGTCCATAAATATTGGGACATCGACACAATTCTAATCTTTTTGGCTCTATACACCCACACAATGGGTTTGAAATGAAACAAACAAGATGTGCTTTAATTGCAGACTTTCAGCTTTAATTTGGGGGTATTTACATCCAAATCAGGTGAACGGTGTAGGAATTACAACAGTTTGTAAATGTGTCTACCACTTTTCAAGGGATCAAAAGTAATGGGACAGATTAACAGTCATAAATCAAACTTTCACTTTTTAATACATGGTTGCAAATCCTTTGCAGTCAATTACAGCCTGAAGTCTGGAATGCATAGACATCACCAGACGCTGGGTTTCATCCCTGGTGATGCTCTGCCAGGCCTCTACTGCAACGGTCTTCTGTTCCTGCTTGTTCTTGGGGCATTTTCCCTTCAGTTTTGTCTTCATCAAGTGAAATGCATGCTCAATCGGATTCAGGTCAGGTGATTGACTTGGCCATTGCATAACATTCCACTTCTTTCCCTTAAAAAACTCTTTGGGGGGGCGGGGCCTGACCGCCGAGCTGGATGGACGTGGGGCACCTCAGCTCCTCCATGAAACCCACAATCCTAGCCTTAAAAATATTTCCTTTCCCCTGAAAAACCACCCAGCTGCAACTAGAAGGCAAAGGGGACCTGTGCACAACTCTCGGTGCACTTACCGGCCTCCGTCCTACCAGCGATGAAAACTGCTGGGCGGCTGGGATTGCGGCCTGTCGTGAGGCTCTGGCGGGAGATGCGGCCGGTCTCCCGTGCTTAGTCCGGCGGGACCTCCCACGCGCTCACAGAGGGCCCCGTTCTCCCCCCCTGTGGGCCGGGGGGGTTATCCCGGACCCCACCTAGGAGGCAGTGACCACCCACGACTCCTGAGCGGCGAACCGAGCAGCCAGAGACCGCATGGTGAAAACCAAACTGGCCGCCGTGTCCATCACAAGCTGGAGAATAATGGCGGCAGCCGTGGAGCAACGAACCGAAAGACACCTACATGACGCCTCTAAGGAGCGCACAACCAGCCTGCTACCACAACTCATGCCAGCATTGTTGAAGGCAACACCTCACAGGGTAACCGGCAGGGACTCACGTGGGACTATAACCCTAAATAAGCGCAGAGGCGCAACAGACAAGAGACACAAGCTCCCTTATTATACCTGAGTATACTATGTCATACTGTCATGCCTAGAACTAGTGCAACTGCGCCTAGCCGGTAGACCCACATGTACAACAACAAAATTATTAAGCATACCTGCTAACTCAGAGACTCGCTGCTCCCTGATGGTCAAAAAGCTAAGTTTAAGCAATGAAGAAATCTAAATCATATATTACGTCTAGATATACTACGAAGCTACCTGTTAATCAAAGTATTATATAAAAATGTGCACGTTACTCAATAACCTCAAATGTTATGTTTGAAAAGTTGCTAGAGGACTGCCGTTGGGGTACCTCGAGCCAAAGTGTAACTGTCTTTATGCACTGCAAAAAAAAAAAATTAAAAAAAAAAAAAAAAACTCTTTGGTTGCTTTTGCAGTATGCTTCGGTTCATTGTCCATCTGCAGTGTAAAGCGCCGTCCAATGAGTTCTGAAGCATTTGGCTGACTATGAGCAGATAATATTGGCCGAAACACTTCAGAATTCATCCTGCTGCTTTTGTCAGCAGTCACATCATCAATAAATACAAGAGAACCAGTTCCATTGGCAGCCATACATGCCCACGCCATGATACTACCACCACCATGCTTCACTGATGAGGTGGTATGCTTTGGATCATGAGCAGTTCCTTTCCTTCTCCATACTCTTCTCTTCCCATCACTCTGGTGCAAGTTGATCTTGGTCTCATCTGTCCATAGGTTGTTGTTCCAGAACTGTGAAGGCTTTTTTAGATGTTGTTTGGCAAACTCTAACCTGGCCTTCCTGTTTTTGAGGCTCACCAATGGTTTACATCTTGTGGTGAACCCTATGTATTCACTCTGGTGAAGTCTTCTCTTGATTGTTGACTTTGACACACATACACCTACCTCCTGGAGAGTGTTCATGATCTGGCCAACTGTTGTGAAGGGTGTTTTCTTCACCAGGGAAAGAATTCTTCGGTCATCCACCACAGTTGTTTTCCGTGGTCTTCCGGGTCTTTTGGTGTTGCTGAGCTCACCGGTGCGTTCTTTCTTTTTAAGGATGTTCCAAACAGTTGATTTGGCCATACCTAATGTTTTTGCTATCTCTCTGATGAGTTTGTTTTGTTTTTTCAGCCTAATGATGGCTTGCTTCACTGATAGTGACAGCTCTTTGGATTTCATATTGAGAGTTGACAGCAACAGATTCCAAATGCAAATAGCACACTTGAAATGAACTCTGGACCTTTTATCTGCTCCTTGTAAATGGGATAATGAGGGAATAACACACACCTGGCCATGGAACAGCTGAGCAGCCAATTGTCCCATTACTTTTGGTCCATTGAAAAGCGTGAGGCACATATACAAACTGTTGTAATTCCTACACCGTTCACCTGATTTGGATGTAAATACCCTCAAATTAAAGCTGAAAGTCTGCAGTTAAAGCACATCTTGTTTTTTTCATTTCAAACCCATTTGTGTTCGTGTATAGAGCCAAAAAGATTAGAATTGTGTTGATGTCACAATATGTATGGACCTGACTGTATGTGTGTGTCGGTGTGCATCTGTGTGTGTATGTATGTATATCTTTATGTGCGTGTGTGTAGATATATGTGTGTATGTGTCCTTGTGTGTGTATGTGGCTGTGTAGGTATATGTTTGTATCTGTGTGTGCCAGTGTATGTGTATGTGAAAGTATATGTTTGTATATGTGTGTATGTGTCTATGTACGTATATGTTTGGATCTGTTTGTGTCAGTGTGAGCATGTGTGTATCTGTGTATTAGCGTGTTTCTGTGTGTCCCTGCATATATGGGTATATGCATACATCCCAGCATTCAAACACCAAGACTACAAAATAAATACACTCCTCCTATCAAGTGCCAACACTACATACAAACACACTCCTGTATTAAAACATCAACATTATATACAAACACCAAAACTACACAAAAACACACCTCAACATGCAAACACCAACACAACATACAAACACATTCCTGCATTCAAACACACTACACTCATACACCATTGCTTTTAAGTACCAACAGTACATTTTAACACACAGCTGTGTTAAAATGTCAACACTATACACAAATAAACCCCTTCATGTCACACACTACATAAATAAACATGCTTACATACAAACACGCAAAAACTGCTCACAATTAAAACCCTGCAAGCATGAGCAAATGGTAAGTCCCCCGTTGGCAATGCATCCTGAGATATGTACAACAGATGGGAATACATCTTTTGGCCAGTCTTGTGTTGGGGGGCAAAATAATTTCTTGCTCCGCTGCCCTCTCTGCATTAGTTCTGCCACTAGTAAGGATTGCATCTTTACTCAAGATATTTGCATTATCCCTCCAAAATTGTGATGAATTTTAGCAGGTATGTGGGCATTTCAATTTTCATTTTAATGGATTTCATGGCATGGTGACAAGTATAAAAATATATAAATATAGAAAAATAATAGAAAAAAATAAACCTTTAGAGCTTAAAAGGTGATGATTTTCTTGTTTCTCATTTTGTGCATAGATGGATTAAGAAATTAAGTAAACAAAAATTAATAGATGCATTACAAAATACATTTACAAAAAATAAAATAAAAGCGATACTCATATTTGAAGTTCCAGCTTTTAATGCAAATCCCCAGGTTTGACATCTCTAGCCAATCCTAGCCACGTAGGACCACCCTAACATGGAGACATTGTTAAAGGACAACTATGTCACACACCACTGCTTAGTGTGGTACTAAAGCCCCTATCCCCAAACTACAGCCCCCTAATTCTCCACTGCAGTCTCACTACAGCCCCCTAATCAGCAAATTGCTCGCCCAAATCCCTGAATACAGCTCCTAACCCCCAACACTACAGCCCCCTGTCTCCTACACTACAGTCCCCTATCCTCCTGCTACAGCAGAGTCCTCAGCTATATATTCCCATAGTATCTAGTAGATTCAATACTGTATTGTGTAAAAACAATGCAAAAATTGAATAAATGCTGGGGAAACAAAGAAAAAGAAAATAGTTATGTATATCTTACCGTCCCATAATCCTAGTTTGGTGGCCAAGAAGTTGCAGCCATACTCAATTGGGGCTGGAATCAAACCTAGTAATGGCTGCTAAACTCAAATAAACTGGATTGCTAAAGGGGAATGTTCACTAAGTAGTGATGTAGCTAATACATAAAAACCTTAGAGGCAAGAGACCATATGGCAACAGAGCTATGGTTATATATACATAGGGATAAATAACTATCATCTAATCTATAGGATACAAGCTCCAAAAAGCATAAATGGGTTAAAAATAACTCCTATAGCATGACGCAGTGTTATAGTCAGAATGATTTTATCCCCTTGGATACAGCTAAGTGGCAACAGCCTCTTAAGTAGATGAGAGGTGAGGAATAAGGAGAAGGGACTGGTATCTAAATGCAACACTCCGTAGTCGACAGATCTACAGTAGCTCTGAACACTAGTCCCTAATACTCCTAAGAAACCACCTTCGTGGGTGTTCTGAGCTGATCCCTAATGTCTGAATACTCCCAGTCCTTGCCTCCAAATTTCCCCCACTAAGCCAAAAAGTCTAAGAAAAAAACAATTTGGTGCTAAACACCCTGTGCATCCATAAATGCTAAAAAGTGCTCCCTCAAGTGAGGGTTAGAGATAAACCCAAACAGCCCACTACCAGTGCCCCTCCTGAGTTTTGGTCCTGGATCCACCCATTCCCCAGCATAATCTTTCTAAGTATGCATGTTCAGGTGAGTGTAGCCCTTTTTGTTATATCTACATACATATATAAAATATATGTAATTTGCTCCTGTATAGGTCCTCTTATATTCAAGGTGCGCCTAAAAATATAAACAACCAATATAGTGCAGAAAAATCTTATTAACCTATTGTTCCTCTACCAATTTTTAATTGTCTCATTTATTGGCAAAATTCCCCCTTTATAACACTGTAAAGTACTGCAGATTAAATTAGTGCTATTTCAATGCCCTGTTTAACCATATATCCTGCTGGAATGTTGACGGTAAAGTATGGAGGCTGAGACACAGCTAGACAGGTACCACTTTTAGAGTATATTCTATGAAGTACCTAAACCCGTAGCTATGCAGATACCTGTGAGACCCCAAACTTTCTGCTGCCAATAATGCATTTGTAGAAGAGCTTCTTGCTTCTTGTCAACGGGGAATGCGAGTCGTGCATGCACAATCATGGCCGACACTTGTACAGGGGACCAGCTGTGCAGGTACAAGTCCATCTTAGCATTCCTAGGGATAAGATACTGATTAGTTAGATCTGTGTCCCCCATAGGATGGGAATGGAATGCACAAGAATGAAGAAGCAAGTAAATAATATCTATTGTCATGCAATAATCGTTTATATCACCCAGCAGTCCCCATAAAAAATACTAGTGTAAATGGGTATGGGTCAAGGGCATTACACAGCATTGCTCCTACACCTCTGTTCAAGTGTTTTTTTTTCTTAATTTCTGTATTTAGTTCTTTATTTTTATGTATATAATTATTTGTGCAAAATTATATTTTCTGCACCAGATATATCGTCCATCTTTTCGATTAAGATTACTACCTTGACATCCTAATGATTGATTTCGAAGTGAGGTTTATCAGTCTCACTGTAACAACGTAGATTACTTGTCTCTGACAACTAAAAATGATGAATTAGGAAGGGAGTTTGGGAATGAAAGATAAAAAGTATTTGCAGCGATAAATGCATTTAGGTTTCAACGGGTAAGGGAGCACGCAGA